AGAATTTATGCAAAGGAGTTCCAAATGCACACTTAACAAATTGTTCAATTTGATGCGTATTTTAGAAGTGGTTGGTAAATGCATAACATACTATCGTAGTGCGGACGAGGTTCTTTCTGCCATGATTTGTAATAGCAGTGAAGCACTTTCAATGAGAAATGACTGCTTCTGCGTGGCTGTCATACGAGTAAGCTTCTGTTTTTGTTAGGAATTCTAAACTACTATCAAGCCAGACCAGAAGCAGTTTTTACCGTGACATGAATGTGGGTAAAGACGGCTGTTGTTTGGTTTGGTATCCTGCTTCGCGCCCTTTTTTTTATTTCTTTTTTTTTTTCAACTTTGGAAAAGTATATCAAAACATTTTGGTAGCAGAATCAGATGAAGAGTCTTAAGATTAGCCTGATAATAAATATGAATTCATTACACTTGCACTATTTTCAGAAGTTGACAGGATTTATTTCAGTTCACTAGCTAGCTTTTTTTAGAATACCGGTAGCTTGATCGGCTACGGTGCTCTCCTAGAGGTTTGCGAAAGGTCTTATCCCAATGCAGAGTTCCTCTTTGCGAATAATTTTGAAGAGCTTTGGGGAATTGAAGGTAGACGGATTTTAGCTTTTTTCTGTAACAATTTTATGTAAGGTTTTTACTAAAGAACGAGTTTACTATAACTGGAAATTTGATAAAAATTTGTTTGAACTGGGTGAAGTTTTTTGCTGTGTAGCTTTCAATAATCAAGCAATGCTCATGTCTGAGTGGTAAATTTTTTAACAGAGTATTTTCATAAAACTAGATTATTTGTTTTAGAGGCAGTGTTCAAATTTGTTCACGATACGGATGTCAAGGAATTGTACGTAAAATTCTCTCACCCTTCTTTTCCAATAGATCAGAATCTCTGTACAAAAATACTTAAAGCTCGACAAACTAAAAGTAAGTGATTTTTCTTCTTTGTAGTAAACCGTGTAAGTCATTTCGAGACTTGTAGTAGAAAAGCTTGCCTCTGTAGAATAATAAAAAGAAGAGCTAAAAAATTGATGACAGTGTTTTTTAGTTTACTCTTCTTTGCAAGAACTTATCTTCTATGCATTGTAACTTAAACAATATTTTTTAGCCAGGTAGTTCACAAGTTACTTTATGCCAGACACTAAGAATTAGTAAATTACCTGGAAGTTACGAAAGCGTGTTTGACAAATCTGATTTAAAAAGTTTACCATTTTTTCAAATTTATGTATAGTTTTGAAATCTCAAATTCTCAAAATAAGCTAAGATGTGTAATTTAAATACAGTGATACTAAAATGTAGCTGCCCAATTTTACGCAAGAGAACTAGCAAATAGATTCGGTGTTTTGTTTTTGCAACCTCATTCGACAGTCTTGGTAGAGTTTTTAGTTAAATCAGTGACTACCACTGGCTGCAACGAAAAAATGCTGCATATTGGATGCAGGATGATTCCAACTCAAAATCAGGTAAAAATTCAATTTTTATTGCTTACACGGAGAAGAAAAAAAAAATATGATACTTTGTATTTCCAGTTTCTTGCCGCTCACTACGGTAGGTTGTCGATATCAAGATGTTCTTGTACAATCATTTAATAAAACAGCTTCGAATACCTAACTTTTTAGTAGTGGTTCCTTAAGAGTGCCGTTTTAAGAAACAGATATATTTTGTGTTTCCTTTCGCAATAAATAGCTACCTAAGCCTTATCGTATTGAGAATCAAGGAAAACTTTTCGTTTCTAACTTTATTATAAAAATAAACTAATCCTAGCAAACTAACAGATATGATGCTGTTTCTAAAAAAGTGTGTCTTTTAATCAGTAATCTCAATAAATGACTTGTTTAAGGAGTAAAAAGGAAGTGTTTGAGAGTGCCGCCTCAGCAGTACAAAATGCCGCCGGTGTTGATCGAATATCCACC